CATCAATAGTTCCTGGTACTTGTTCCTGTGAAATCAGTCTTTGGTCACAGCCCTTTGGTTTTGGTAGCCGGTCGTTTGGTCGGTGGCGGTGTTCGTTCCTGGGTTCGCGGTCATAATGTGGTGTTGCTGCCCTCTGCTGTTGTTCTCTCCGTATTATATCGGCCACTTGTTGAGGAACAGGACTTTTTTGAGACGTGCTCCTGAGCCAGGCATTAAATACGCTACACTGCAGCTCAGAGTCGCAGCTCGTGTTATTTATTATCATCGTAAACGGTAGCAAAACCAGGATGTTTTTGTCTGAGGTTTGGAGGGGTTTTTGTGTGTGAATTTTGTGTATGAATGACCTCATCCTACCATATATGGACTACACTGGTCTTTCACTACGTAACAGCTTTACTGAAATACGTTGAACACCGTGAACACAACATCATTAATGTGAACGTTAATCGTTTTTCTCTGGTCCTGGACGCCTCAAGTTCAAAAATGTGAACGTTAATCGTTTTTCTCTGGATAAAGTTGGAATAATCCTGGACGCCTCAAGTTCAAACCCCGTAATTATTTCTGCAGTGTAACAACAGTGACAAACGTCAGGCGGTGATCACATGACCTGCAACCATAGCTGAGGATCAGAGCTGAAAACCGGGTTCTTAAACGGTTCTCCAAGACATCGAAGGAAACCTGCTGTAAAATATCATTCAACTAATAATGACATTTTGAATTTTGTGCCAATCGTTGATCATTTTTCATCTGTTTTAATCCTAATCTCCTCCTCGGACCCTGACCTGCCCCCGTCACTGTTGCCCACAGACCGACCATATTGTTGTTTAAACTCCGAACCTCTAGAACCAGCCTGCTGTTGGTTTGCGATGTGCCACCTGTGCTTTTATTCTGAAAATCCCGACACTCTGCTGCCTTCGTCCTGCTCTTCTCACATCTGTGGCCTTTTATTTTCCAGTTTGTCGTCATTTCTGTTGTTGTTTTTCCTGCGGACCCTTTGCCTCTTTCCAGTTTGTCGTCATTTCTGTTGTTTTTTTTGCCTCAGTTTTGTTTTTTGTTGTTTTTTTTTCTGATCAATTATTATTTTCCTTTTTCTTGTTCTCTCTGTCTTCAACGATTGAATGAGTTTACACACATTTGCAGTTTGTACCTTTGACGGTCAGTTTCACAGTCAGCCCCTTGACTGTATGTTTGTCGTTGGTTTTTATTTTCCATGTTTTTTTGACTGTGGTTTGGTGTGGGAACAATTTGGTTTAAATGTCTTTATTTTGTTGTGTTTTGGTTTTTCTTTGTGTTTTTTTTTATTATTATTCTGGTAGGAAACAGGAACGTGAGTTCATATATTTTACCTGTGCTCTTTGAAATGACTGCTGTGGTGATTTGTTGTTGTTTTTTTTTTTTGTTGTTGTTGGCACAAAAAGAACCAGTGTGATTGTTGAAGTGACGGCCGTCGTGCGATCTCGCGACGCGGTCGTTCTGCAGGTTTAAATGTGTTGTTATTATCTCCTAATCTGTCCTGACCTGTCCTGTCCTGTCCTCTCCTGTCCTGTCCTGTCCTGTCCTGACCTGTCCTGACCTGTCCTGTCCTGTCCTGTCCTGTCCTCTCCTGTCCTGTCCTGTCCTGTCCTGTCCTCTCCTGTCCTGTCCTGTCCTGTCCTGTCCTCTCCTGTCCTGTCCTGTCCTATTGGAAAACAGATAAAAGAAAAGGAAACTGGACACAGAAAAAAAAAACCACTTTTCTGATCATTTGTATCAGTAACACAACTCTCCAACAACAGGAAACATCAGATGGACATGTGGTCCAAACATTAAACCAGTAACATTTTCCAGTATCACATTTGAACTTTATCCCAGTACCGAACAAAAACTTTAGGTCACCACCAGTTCATGAAACCAAGTTTATTAATCCACGTCGTTGATCAGATCACGTCCCTAAAACAGGACATTGACAGATTCAAATTAAAGTTAAAGACAATGTTCAAAGCCCGTCCACGTCATTTATCTTCCTGTTCACTTAAAAATCCATAGAAAAGAAGATCCCTAGAGCTCAAGTCAACATCCAAGTCACTAAGAGCATGTGGACTGGACTGAGACCTGACATGAATCGGTGAAAAAAAGGTTTGAATCCCAGTCTGTGTTTGTCACCAGTCTTAGAAGAAAAAAATAAGACCGAACTCAGCAAATCTGGTGATGGCCTAAGACTTTTGCACCGTACATTTAAGGTCCGCGCTGATGACCTTTGAAAAAAAGTACCACTTCCTGCAGTTCACGGACAGTTCCAACGATGCTTATTTGTCCTCCTCCGTCGTCCCAGAGCGACAGTATGGATACGTCTGCTCTGAGGCCTGGGATTTAAGGAATACCTCGGTGCGGAATTCACTTCCTCTGTGCTGTATGAAGTGTTTGTTCATATGAAACCATCCACAGCTATGCAGTACCGCCCCCAGCAGCCCATTGGTCTCCCTTTCTGAACATATGCAACTGCTAGCCTTAGCATCACCCTCGGGCTTCATGTAAGACGTGGACGCTGCCATTTGTTTGCTTTGTCAACTCAAAGATACCGTCTTTGGTTCTCAGGTGGAGTCATGTGAGTGGAGGTCGTGTTTTGTGTTGCAGTAACAACCTGAGGCAGAATCGGCTTTTCTTCAGAAAAAGATGTCGGAATGTTGTTGTTTTTTTTTAACTATGTCCCAGTAGTCTGTACTTTGGTCCAGGTCACAGGTCAGCGTGAAGCCCATTTGACACCGACCCGAGTCCGATTCCATATCTAGTTATTGGTGCCGAGACTTGAGTCCTGTCACAGAACTAGAGCAGGGTCCAGGACCACCTGGACTCCCAAGTTAGTCTTTCTTAATCTTTCATTTTCAACTAAATGGGATCCAAATCTACAAAATTGAGGCGTTGTTTTTTTTTTGTTTGTGTTTTTTTGTTTTTTGACCTCCACTTAGATGGAGCAACAAACCCGTTGACTTAAATCTGAAACACCTCATTGCTATCAAAGCCGTTTGCCTGCAGCAGATTCTGTGTTTAGTCTTCGCTCATGGATTCTTTTGGAATCCAGTCGAACGTCCTGTTGCATGAACACATCCAGCCTTTAAAAGTGTCTCCTCAGATGTTTGACCTGCAGGATTGTCACCCCGTGTATTAAAGTGTACAGATATTTTTCTCGTAAATGACAAAAATTAATACTGATATTAATAATAATGATATGATATATTCTACACCAGCAAATCTGTCTGTGGATCAGTGTGTTGTCAGCTGTCCAGGTCCAGACTCTTCCCAAACCGGGACTCGACCACAGACCTGATGTAAAAAAAAACAAACAAACAAAAAAAAAAAGGAAGTTGTCATCCAGGTGCTGGACTTATTGGGGCCTGGATGTGGATGTGAATCTGTTGGGGAGCCCCCTGCTGGTTGTTGGTATCAGTGTTGCTGCTTATAACTTGGATCTGAAACTAAACAAAAGTTTATTAAAATGATGATGTAAAAAAAAAAAAAAAAGGCTTCGTTCCTTGTGCAATGTGTATGTAATGAAATGAGACTTTCTTTCTTAAAATGAATTAAACTAAACCTGGACCAGGTTTACGTTTACGTGTTTGTGTCGTTACTCTGAGTGAAGTGAAGTGTTGGAGGGAAAAATCACCAGGTGGTTTGGGTTCTAGGTTCTACCACAGATGTTCCTGAGCCTTTAAAGTTTCTTTAACGTCACTGTCGTCAGGACCGTTGTTGAACACATTAGTGTGCCAAAAAAACTGCAGTGAACCTGATTTTGAAACACTGCATTTCCTACTAAAAAGTGTCTGATCATCAGGCTTCAGTTGGACAAACGAAGGTTCAGTCGTTCAAGTTATTATAAATAAGTTATATAAATTATAAACATGTGGGGCGTGTGGTCACTTCCTGAGTGCTCTTAGGCCCAGAATTACAAACATTATTCTTTTTCTTTTTTTCTTCTTTTTTTTTGACTGGTACAATGTGTCGAACCATACAGAGCCACTAAACACCTCCTGGTCGTCACCTTAAACTTACAGGTGAGAAATTCAAATTTTATTCTTATTTTACTTTACCGTTCTATTTCTTCTTTCTTCTTCTACTTTTATTTTATTTTTCCTTCCTGTGAGTGGAGCTCACATTTGTTTGTCAGTGTCGTCCAGTGACACTGTTGCCTTTCTTCACCCCTCCTTCCCCTCCTCCCCCTCGGGCCACCCCTCTCACCCCCTTCTGTAGCCTTAACTTCACAGAGTTGCAGCAGCAGCAGCAGCAGCAGCAGCAGGAGAAAGACTTTCCTTGACTTTTCTTTATTTGTTCTTTTTTCTTTATTCTTCTGACAGGAGCCATGAACCTCGGAGCAGAGGAGCACTGACTGTAACGTAAGAAAAATATTTTTTTTTCTATGTTTCCTATGTTTTTTCCTATCTCATGTCTCCTATCTTTTGATAATTCCAGTCTGTTTTTGTTGGAAACACTGGTTCAACTGGTTCATTCCATCCACTGGTTCCACCGTGGTGCCTGAGTCAAAAGTTCTCAACAGGTTAAAACATACGGAGGTAAAAACTAAAAAAAAAAAAAAAAAAAGGTTTAGAACTGAATTCCTGAGTCATGAATTCTAATTTGTAACAGTTTCAGATTGACTTGACTCAGCAGCAGCATCAGCAGCAGCAGCAATAATAGTACAAAAACCGGTCTGTTTCTATGTTTTTTTACTGCCTGTTCTTCAAGATAAACTTTACACGCAGCCGACGGCAAACAAAAAAACCTTTGATCCCGAACAGGGATTTCTCCAGGACAGAAACTCTGGATTTTATTGTTTTATCTCTTTGTTTAAGGTGTTGTTGTGTAACCTAAGGGCCGCGGCCTCCTTAACCTTAGAGCGAGAGAGAGAGAGAGAGAGAGCGGGAGACAGCTGATTTTATTAAGGCAGCTCACTTTTCACATGGAAACGTCACCGTCACTGATTCAGTGTCGACCGACGTTTGTATCACAATGAGGTGATGCTGTCAGAGGGCGGGGCCAAACCCCAGGAACTCATTACCAAATGCAAACGTTTCTGTGTTTGTTAGCATTTCAACCGCTGCCCCCCTGTGGCCTCTGACCCCCCCCCACCCTTCGCCCCCCAGCACCAACAGGCCCAGGTGAAATGTGTCTGACTTCTTATCTGTTTTTTTTACCATTAGACCCTCCTATTGCTCTGTCAGCCACCAGGGGGCAGCTGTACTGGCCGTAGTTATGTTAAAGGAACTTATTTTCACACAAAGTCAATGTTACATATTGTCAATAGTGCAGTTTGTTGACATTGATAGCCAAAGTCCATGACGTGTTTACCGATGATATCGGACATCCCTACAAAGAGACTGAACTGTGTCAGAAAACCTCGTATGTACGACATCGTCCTCAGTGTCAGTAGAAAGAAAGTCTTTGGACGAATCAGGAAACGGTCTTTGATCCACAAACTCTTCACGTCAATGTTCTGGTTTCTCTTGTTTTGTCAGTGGAGGAAGAAGAGGAGGAGAAAATCAGGAGCAGCGAGAAGATGGTTCTTTTGTAAAGAGCTACGAGAAAACCTGGGCCGAGGAGGAACATGCTGGACATTTAGAGCCAACGACAGAGAAAACAACCAAGCTGTTCTGCACCGTGATTGGCTGAAACCATGGCAGTTACCCAGAAGGGCCAGGAGGAACTCAGCGAAGGCCGCAGGAGGTCACGTCGGGTCAGACCTCCTCCGGAAGGTGGCTGGGGTTGGATGGTCGTCGCCGGCTGTTTCCTGGCCACCGTTTGCACCAGAGGAGTGACCAGGTTTGTGGACGTTTTCAGTCTGGTAACATCATTAGCAGTAGAGGAGGGGGGGGGGGTCGACACTACAACACTCTGAATGACCTCTGTGAACCAGGTGGAGTTGGCGAACACCATGTTGAAGATCTCTGAAGTTTAACGTTCCACAAACACACCTTATCAGGTGGGAGTCAAACACTAAGTGACTATTCAGCTAGAAAACAGCAGGGGGCCACGGCGTCCATTACATAATGACCAGCGAGGTGATAACCAGGGGTCAGCTGGTACAGCGACCTCAGCTGGTTACGTAGCTCAGCCATAAACAGATAAACTCCTCGACCAATCGCTGCTTCTCCGACCCTCACCTGACGCCGAATGTCAACGAAATCTGCAAAATCATGACAATAACGATAAGATAGGAACATTCTGACAAACTGTAAAAAATATATTATCTCTGACATAAGATAAAGTCTTCTTCTTCTTCATCTTCATCTTCATCTTCCTCTTCCTCCCACATGGCAGAGGTCGTGAAACTAAAGTCTGAGTCTGAAGTGTCACTGAGATCAGTCATTCTTAACCAGAGGGCAACCAGCGCCACCCACAGGGCCACAAAAATTTCAGTTTTGCCCCCTAGTGGCCGTGGGACGGCATAGGTTATGAACTGCAGATATCGTGTTCACGTTAACCATGAGTAGCTCAGTTACAATGTAGCTTTCAACCACATGGTGGCGGTAAAGCATCAGTCAGTTCCTTAACCAACACCAATACACACAGCTGCAGCTTCACAAAGCTGGCGAAGCTAGGAGTTGTTTTTAAAAACAAAAATGAAGACGAAGGTCGTGCGGATCCGGTTTTCTAAAGTAAAAAACTTTGAATATTTGAAAAAACTTAGTGTATGGTCCGGTCCACTAACTGTCCGTCTTCTGTCCTGTGTCCAGATGTGTTTCTCTGTTCTTCGTGGAGTTCCAGGAGCACTTTGGCCAGGATTACTCCACCACCGCCTGGATCCACAGCCTGGTGGACGCCACCACCATGCTCTGTGGTANGGCCAGCCTGGACCAGACTGGACCAGACCGGACCAGACTGGACCAGACTGGACCAGACCAGACCAGACTGGACCAGACTGGACCAGACTGGACCAGACCGGATCTCTGCAGTACTCCCGTGGACTGTACTACGTTAACTGTAGTACTCTAACTGTTTTCAGCTCCTCTGGGTGGTTTCCTCGGGAGTCGACTCTCCTGCAGAGCCACGATCATCCTGGGGGGGGTGCTGTCCACCGCCGGACTCGTCATCAGCGCCTTCGCTTCTAGTCTGGTCTATCTCTACGTCTCGATGGGCGTCTTAACGGGTGTGTAGATGACGTCTGTCCCTTTACGACGGAGTCTTAGGGCCACGTCGAGAATAAAAATATGTATAATTTCGGGATTAAAGAATAAAATTTACGAGATTAAAGTCGTAAATTTACGAGTATAATTTCGGGATTAAAGAATAAAATTTAGGTCGTAAATTTACGAAGTTAAAGTCGTAAATTCAGTTGATGTGTTTTGGAGTAGACGAAAGAAAAGCACACAGCGTTAGCTTTACAATGAGAAACATGGAGAATCTTGCTAATCTCAATCTTGTACTTTCGCGAAACAGCCGAGGTGTTCGTTTCGACTAATATTTCTCCTATTTTCTCTCTAAGTTTTTCTCATAGATTTGCAACTTTATTGTCATAAATTTAAAACTCACAACCACTTCATCGTAGTAATGTGGTCATTATACTGTAGTAAATGTTGTTTGTGGCGTGTGGGTTTAAAAGTCGTGACTCTAACGTCCATGTTCAGTTTCGGTCGTTTTTTTCAAACCTCCTCCTTCATTTCCTGCAGGCCTCGGCTTTTCCTTCTGCTACACTCCGTCCGTGGCCATGGTGGGAACATACTTCAGTGAGAGGAAAGCTCTGGCCTTCGGCATTTCTCTGTCTGGTAATGACGTCTGTTCATCCTTCAACTTCTCTTCTCTCCTCTTCATCCATTTTTTTTCACTCTGGTTCTGCTGTTCACACCTTCAAATCCAGTCTCACTCCATCTCCAGGTTCTGGCATCGGGACCTTCATCCTGGCTCCGGTGGTACAGCTGCTGATTCAACATTACACCTGGAGGGGCGCTCTACTCATCCTGGGAGGACTTGTGTCTAACCTGTGTGTCTGTGGTGCTCTGATGAAGCCACTAGGGGGCGCTGATGAACAGTGAGTTCTCGTCACTCTGGTCTCACCGCTGTGGAACTTTGATTATCTATATATATATTTTTTTTATATTTTAATTGCTCATGATTCACCAGCACTACTCCAGCGATCTACTGGTAGACCCCGACCTACTTATTGAGCACCCCTGCTCTAAATTTTTTTTTTTTCAGAAAATTTTTAGAAAAAAATTTTTTTTTTCAGAAAATTTTTAGAAAAAAGTATTTTATATGAATCTTTCAAAATATATTTTCTACGGCATTAGTTCGAATTATGTGATCGTCTGCATAGAAAAGTTGATCTTTTCCATTTTTTCCAAAGTGTTTTTTTTCTCTGTTTTGTCCATGAAAAGTGAACCAGCGACCACTCTGAGTCCTGATCAAGTCCCGTCTGAGACGAAGCCGATGAAACCAAACAACCTTCAGGACACGCAGTGGCTGATCTCCACCAACGGTGGCGTCAAACACACGGAGCCCGGCGGTGGCACACAAGGGCTGGACGAGGAGACGGCCGAGAGGTCAAAAGGTCGAGCATAAAATCATTAACTATAACTACTGCCGAATGACTGGAAGGTCAGAAAGTTGGGTATAAAACAAGTAAAGATTTGTCAAACATAAGGCCCGTGGGCCAAAATCGGCCCACTCAGGGTTTTATTCTGGCCCACTTTATGAATTTTGGATATAAAAAAACACCTAATAATATAATACCTAACCCTAACCCCTGACATAGACCATAAATTACAGACTGTTTTAATATTGTCTGACCTTCCTGGGAATTAAAAAAAAAAAATTAAATATTATTTTAATAATATTTGAATCAAATGATTCAAATGTCTCAATGATTACATTTTGAAAAAAATTTTTATACTTCACTCCCAGATGATTCGTCCAGAGGGGGCGCTCTCTGCCTGAGGTCCAGTCCAGAGTTTGGATTTCTTCTGATGCCGGACTTCCTGATCCTGTCCGCCTCCTTCCTGTTGATGGCGTACGGCTGCAGCAGTCCCATGGTCTACCTGGTCCCCTACGCTCTCAGCGTGGGGGTGGAGCATCAGCACGCTGCCTTCCTCATGTCCATATTTGGAGTCAGTGTGATTGTGGGAAACATCACCTTTGGCTGGATCACAGACAGGAAGTGAGTGAAGGAAGGCGGGCGTTTGTTGACGTTTTATTTACGATTGTTTTTAATCGTCTTCAGTCTAAATATTTTGTTTGGTTTTTTTTGTCAATGTTTAGCTATTCTTGAGTAAAACGTGTCTTTGGCTAATTTTGAATTTTATTTGCTGTTTAGCCTAAACATTTTTTAAATTTGACTAGGATTACGTTTTGTTTCGATTCTAAGTTTGGTTATGTTGGCTATTTTGACCCTAAGGTTTAGTTAATATTTTAGAATCAATAATCCCGTAGCTATGACATTTATCATACTTTGGCTAATCGATTAAAAAATACACAAGTGACTTTAGCTAAATATTTTTGCTCCTTTTGGACAACCTTTGGGCGTCTTTTTGCTACGTCGAGGCTATCATTTAGCATTTTTTTATGTCTACTGGTTTTGGTTTTTCACTGTGACAGAACTCGTTTAATCCTCCCTCGTCTCGTCTTCTCCAGGGGTTTGAAGAAGTATCGTCTGCTAGGCTACATGCTAGCGGTCGGCTGCGACGGCCTGTGCTGTATGTTCGTTCCTCTCCTTCACTCCTTTCCTCTCCTCGTTCCCTTCGTCATTTTCTACGGTTACTTCGAAGGAGCGTATGTCGCGCTGATCCCCGTGGTGACGTCGGACGTCATTGGCACCAACTACCTCAGCTCCAGTCTGGGCGTTGTCTTCTTCCTGCACGCCGTCCCTTTCCTGATCAGTCCACCAATAGGAGGTGAGGCACTGACACCGTCTGTGCTCGTGTTTGTTCCATGAATCAAAAAAAACTTTTTTCTTAAACCTTTGCTCTTCACCTCAGAGATATTTTTCACAGTTTTGTGCATATACTGTTGACGCGTCATGCTAAGAGGCTAACTGACCTTTAGCTGCGTTCCTGTGTCCTCAGGGTGGTTAGTGGACACGACCGGTAACTACACCTCCACCTTCCTCCTCTCCGGCTCCTGCTTCCTGTGCAGCTCTCTGGTTCTGTCCACGGTTTTGTTAAGACGTTACAGGAGGTCAAAGTGGAAAAAAGACCAAATCAGTGACGAGCAGAAGATCATCTGACATCACTGTGACCTCATCACTACAGAGACCGACTCAGAAGGACCAAAGCAGAACCTCATTTTTACTACTTTGGTTGTTTGAATGTGTGTGTGTGTGTATGAACACACACGTGTGTGTGTTAGCATTCCAATACTATTATGCCTTAAGTTTAAACTTGTTTTTTAAAGCACAAAAATATTTAATTCATAAATAAACTTTCATGGTTAAAATCCGATGCTCTGTGTCGCCTGTTCTTGTTGTTCGTCTCTCATCTCCCCAGCAGGTGGTGATGTTGATAGAGTTTTAGTTGTTTTTTGTGACATTAATCATTGAGACAGATTTATTAACATTTATGATCTTAGTGTTGTGTTTATGTTAAAAGACGCATCTGCAAAGTTGGTAAAACTAGTGTTTAACTAGTTAACTAACTAACTAACTGACTAACTGACTAATCTAAAACTCAACTTCACAAATAAACCATCTCTGAATATACTGTATATACTTTTTAAAAAAATATTTACTGTGTGTCTCCAAAGACCACGACCCAGAGGTTGGAAATCACTGGAAACCTTCTGATGGGCGATGGGTTTTATTTTCACATGAAAATGATGGAAAATGTATAATAATAATAAAATAATGATAATAATAATAAAATAATAATGTAAACACAGTAATTTAGACTATATTTATATAATAATGTAAACACAGTAATTTAGACAAATATGTTATTGTTATTTTAATCAAATGAATTAAAACAAAAGGTAAAAGTGACTTTGACAGTCAGACTTTGACAGTGTGTTGCAGCTGAAGAGCAGCAGGGGGCAGTAGGACCTGTAACAACTTTGACCCAGGAAGTTGTCAAGAGTCAACAGGAGGGAAGTGCAGCAGTGGAGGAAGAGGAGCATTTCCTTCCTGGAAGGCCCAAGTGTAGCACTGTTATTTTTAGGTATTACTTTAAAGTTTGGCTTCAGAGTACTCCCTGAGGTATTTGTTCAACAACATAATACTTCAGTTCAGGGTTAATACTGCAAACACCAGCAGGTAGCAGTTGTTTGCCTTCAGTTTGGACCTGGAGCAGCAGGTGGAAACAAACATTTGCTGCTGGTTTCATCAAAGGTAAGAAGCTCAATCTCTCTTCTACTGCCACCTGGTGACTGGATGTTCACTTCATTTAGGAGTTTTAATAAGGACTGGATGTTCACTTCATTTAGGAGTTATAATAATAATAAGAATCCTGAACTCCTGATAGGCTGGGCCTAAACAGTTGGATTTGAATTTGAAGAATGTTTGTATTTAGTTTTTCAAATTCTGCTGTTTCATTTTTTTAGTGTCACTTTCATCTGAGCTGATTCTGATTCAGTGAACTACGCTGTTTAAAATGACATTTCTATTTAATGCTATGCTATGCTATGCTATACAATGCTATGCTATGTAATGCTATGCTATGCTATGCTATGCTATGCTGTACTATTCTTATCCATGCTATGCTATGCTATGCTATGCTGTGCTGTACTATTCTTATCCACTCTATATCAAAGATACATGAGGAGGGAATTTCCCAACAAATTAAACCATGACATTGTTTTTTTGTCGTTTGCTGTCAGACATCAGTTGCGTTAGCGTTTGTGTTGTATTTTCATTTTTTTTTTGTTTACATTTGTTCGACCAGTGTTAACATTCATCACCAGCGAATCACAAACCTGGTTTTTCCCACTTTGATCGTTGTTCGTCATCGTTGTTGTTGATCATCGACGACACAATTTGAACTTAAATCGTTCTTATTCGTAGCTAATGTTCAACGGTAGCACAGGCTGCGGCTGAACCAACATGGCCGCCGACGACGCGTGTTATGTCATCTCACCGCTCACAACAACAGCTCCCCTGATGTTTGAAGTGATCTACAGAAACTGTGTGTGCGTGAGCGTGCGTGCGTGTGTGTGTGTGTGTGTGTGTGAGAGAGAGAGAGAGAAGTTTCCATTCTGTAGGTGGATGCGTGGGAGGCAGACAGAGGAGGGGTTTCCTCTGAGGTTGGCATCCCCGAACGCACACCCACACACACACACACACACACACACCAACACACACTGATTTTTGTATTTTGTGAACACTTCACGTAGACCTTTACACTCATGTACCCTGACCTTGACTTATGAGGACACGTCTAATCCTAATCCTAATCTGAGCCTCGTTCTAATCCTAACTCCAAACCAAATCTTCAAACCCACCCGTCGGGGACACGTGTCCTCACAACAACAGTACATTTCCAAAAAAACCGACGACGACGACGACAACACGCGGCGTCGTGCACCTGCGACGTGTCAAAAGTTTATCAGCAGAAGAATCTAGGGTGAACCAAAAACGCAGGTGTCTTCTCTCTCTCTCTCTCTCTCTCTCTCTCTTTCTCTCTCTCTCTCTCTCCATTCTTGCTTTTATGTGTGTGTGTGTTTGTCTGCGTGTGTGTGTGTGTGTCTACGTGTGTGAGAGACCACATCAGTCACACACACACCTCTGTGTGGGCCGACAAACGCATCACAAACACCAGGTTCTCCTGAAGAAGCCCTTCATCGACGCCCGCTGACGTTTCTCTGCTCTTCTTCACTTTTGTTTCGTGTTTTCATCGTTTCCAGAATCTTCTGTAGAATTTAAAGCAGTTCTTGTGCAGAACAAAAACCAAAACGTTGATGTTTTTCATGGTTTTCTCTTTGTTCCTTCACTTTGTTATAACTGAAGTTTTCTGACCGGGTCATGTCGACCTCGGCATCGAACCGATAACGGCAGCTGTGGGTCAGGACTCGTCTACATGCCAGTGTGTCCCAGGCGTTCAGATTTCACCTGTTTCGTACATCGCTGCGCCGATTTATAACGTTATCGCTGTCTCTCACGCTGTTCAACCGTTACCGTGGCGACAGGAAGCCACCCTCGGGTCCGCGCCCCACGCAGAAGCGGTTGCTGGAGCGTGCAGTGTCTCGTTACCATTTAAAGATTTAGACGTCAAAGAACCAGAACCGTTCACTGTTCAACCAATGAAAGCATTCGGGGGGCGGGGCTAAGACTGACGCGGCAAAACGAGGTTCAACATCCGACTGGTGGACCGCTTCTGTACTGGTTGGACGGCGACTTCTGGTCGAAATAAGTTAAATACAAGAATAAAGTAAAACTTTCAAAGATAATTTGGCACATCTGACGTCTGCCGCCATCTAGTGGCATCAACAGAACTTACAGTTGATTCGCTGTAAAGAACCACGAAACACAAGGATCGTCTGGATCTGTCTTTGGCGTGCCGTATCTGGTCCGCGGGCCGTAGTTTGCTCAGGTCTGTTTTTACTCTTTATTTATATTTGTTGTGACAACAATTTGTCAGGACATTTTGACGTGTATGGGTATTTGTGTATGTGTGTGTGTGTGTGGGGGGGGGTCGTTGTGTTGACTTTCCTGCAGTTAGGTGTGTGCGTTTACAATGTGTGTGTGTGTGTGTTTGTAAATCAGAAAACCACACACAACCTTTAAGCCTTATATTTCCATTCATGCTTCATGCTGCTGCACCCACAGTCTCTGCCCCCACACTCGCACTCACACATACTGGTGTTTGTATTTTGTGAGCACCATTTTGTAGCTGCCCCCCCCCTCCGGCGCCCCCCCCTCCCTTTTTTTTCTGTAACCTCAAATATTAAAAACACTCTCCAAACTAAATGTTGAACCTCAAAACACCACTTTCCCTCGGTGGCAAACAAAATGTCCCCATGAGACACATGTCCCCGCAAAAAAAAAAGATACGCTTCCAGAACGATGTCCCCGCTAGTATAGTATGCTAGGCAGAGGAACACACACACAGGCTTGCAGAGCATTGCTTCAAAGAGAAGAGAAATATCACAACGAGAAAACCTCGCAAAACAGGACAGAAATGGAAAAACATCGCGTTTCATAAACAGGTTCTCAGCTGAGACACAACGTCTGATGATGAACCACAACCACGGCCGATCAGAGAGAACTTATTTAAATGACTTTCAGGTTTTAAAATATTAGATCTTTTTTTTATTATTCTTTTTGGACAAACTTTTGAACGTCTGATGACATCACAGCTAAAACTGTAGTTTCAGAATTTAGTTTTTTTTTATTGTAATCTTAAAAGTCATTTTAAAGACATTTTATATTATCTATATATTTCTTCATTACTGTAGTCGGTAAAAAATTTTAAAACATAAATTACATGTGTGAAAAGTTCAGATAACAAAAGGAAAAAAAATTTAAAATCTGAAACGTGAGGATTTTTGTTTTGAACATTTAAAAAGACAAACAAAACAAAAAAAAACCCAACAGATAAAAATGAAGGAAGGCAGACGTAGAGTTTTCTCTTCTTTGTTGTGGCTCCTTCGTCTCCTCTTCCTCAGAGTCAAGTTTTTAAACTTGTGACAAATCACACAGGTCAGAGCTGGAGCAGCTGTGGCTCAGTGGGTGTAGACAGCCTGTCCTCCAGAGGGTAAAGGTTTGAGTCCGACTTCAGCGTCTCGACAGGAACTCACTTTAAAGTTTTGCTGTTTTTCTTTGTCGTTTTTTTTAAAACATTTTTTCATTTATTTCTTTTAAGATGTTTCTGTTTTTG